CGCGAAGGCTAAGAAGATGGGTATGCCACTCTGGTGTTGCCACCTCACTTTCGTCCGAGGTGGGGGCCAGTGGCCCAGCTGGAGCCGCAGTCGACGAGACCGCGGTCGAGATGGCCAAGAGCAAGGGGAGGGGCGAAGTACTTCATAGCTCCGAAAATACCTTTTTAGTTTTATACCTGAGCAGTAGTGATACCTCTTAAAACGTATCGGAATCAAAGGTTCCCTATTCTGGGGGACTACTGTAGTACGTAGTAGGAAATAACTGAGTCTTTGCGCTGATGATTCGTCATTGCGTACATTCTATTCCATTTGGGTAATTGTTCAGTTTTCAATCAGTTGCTTATGGATATTATATAAACTCGAGGCCATACAGTACCTGGGTCAATCACACATTCTTTCCAAATCAACGACAAACTGGTTTGGTGACCTACTACTGTACCGGTATCGTGGGTTGCTGCTAACGTTACAAATGTACTACGCCGTGTCTTTTTATAATGTACATTGGACGAAATTTGACCTATCACGGCGACCTATGTGCCAAATCGCGAAATTCGATTGGCTGCCGAAAGCTGGCGTTCGCTCTGATCCTGCTGTTATTTTAATAAAGCGATTCGTTCATAAATGACAGAATAACAACCACTGAAAATAGTCGCACCCACCTTGATCTGATAAGCAGAAGTTTCCGCCAATTAAATGGACGTAGCGTGCCATACTCAGCGTTTGATTGGTAGATATCCACCAATTACATCGATGCATTTGGACGAAACACCTGGTTATGCTTTGATTGGCTGAAAATATTTTTTACGTGGCTCTCATTGGCCAAACCAAATGTACATTATATTAAACCACACCCATATGTGACAAATGTACACTAAATAAAGACACGGACTGGTTTAGTCGTTCGCTCAGATGTTCACATACACACTGGGTATGCTTACGTCGCGCTGGACAATTCCCTCATTAACATGTAAACCGTTCCACTGTTGATTTTCTCAGAAAATATTACAATATGCGTGTTTATATGAAATTTTGTACGCACGACCCACCTCACCTCTTATGAAGTGCATCTCAGTCGTTAGCGATGCAGTTAGCCCCGGGAATTTACTGTTAGCATCGTATGTACTCACCAGGGGTAGGTCGGAGTACGGGCGAAAAGGTGTATCCGGATGGGATACTGTAATTCCCTCATTGACAGTCCGCGACAACAGTGGAGCTGTTTTAATGAGAGGTTATTTGAAATGATAGTGCTAATGCAAGGAAAAACCCAGATATCCCAGGGATAAACAATGGTTCTCAGTAGTACTTCGAAGTAAGCTATTGGGATTTACGTGGAGTAATGCTGTGCATCGTTGGAATTCTTCTAATTAGGCACGTTTTACTCCTATTTAGTCATAAATTGTTTGTTTAATGTAAGAATAGCCAATCATAATCCTTCCAAGTTTGGATTGGTAGGTGTAGGGTGTGTTAGGCCGCAGATAGGCACGAACAAACATAACGTTACACCAATAAGCAAAGTGGTCACTACCCATCATGCTGGAGATGAAGCGAGCGTCCAGCGTATCCGCGGCGACGCCGAACGTAGTTGCGTTCACGACGCATGACTCAACTATGTCCAAGGACTCAAAGAAGCTCGACATATACGATGATACGGAGCTGGCGATCGTCCAAGACGACATCCCGACGCTTTCCGGCGAGCAAACCCAAGACGCAAACGGCATTCCGTTGTGCGAGTGGCGAACCGGCCTCTTCGACGGGTCCTCGACGAACTTGACCCTGGGCCTACTCTCCGTCTTCGTCCCCTGTATCCCCGTTAGCCACATCGCGCATCGAATCGGGCTTGGCCAGTTTGTGACAGTCCTCTTCGTAGCTGGCTTCTTCTACGTCGCCAGCTTCAGCCTGAGTTTCCTACAGCGTCCTGCCGTGAATGCCATCGCCACCGCGTGCTCCGTTGTCTTCATCGGACTTTTATCCGTCCTCCGTTACCGCGTGCGGCACTTGTTTGGCATTTCCGGTTCGTTGTTCACGGATGCATGCACCATCACCTGGTGCGGCTGCTGTGCCATCGCTCAAATGTCCACACATGTTCAAGCCATGACCCCTGGCAGCTGCTGCTCCCTCGTTCCTCGCGACGTACTGCCAGGGTACAAGTAAATATTCCGGTGCACTTCATCAGCCGAATTCCTCCAATTATCATCGCAAGTAGAAAGCCAAAATATTATGCTATAAATACGAAGATATTTTGATCCGTGAGAACAAATTTGTACTCCGCCGTACGTTTTGGTTGGTCCTTACTGTTAACTATTGTCATCTGCCAGATGAGGGGGAGGGAAAATAGCTGCATCGGTTTCTTAGCTCAAAAGGGTCCGTCCCTTTCCTGAGGAATCCGGATAACAACGGTTGCGTACGAAGATGAGGACCGAACTTCGAAGAAGCTCGGTCGAAGCACGAGGTACTACGTGTTGAGCGAAGTAAAAACCGAAGATTACACACCGCCCCTGGTCGAGCAGGTGTGCGTTATTGTACAGTAAACCTCTTACGCTTTGGGCGCTGTCTTCTTATCGAAGTGATAATACTATTGTCCTTTTCACCTAACTTGGACAGGGTAGATTATTGGAGAAATCGACTGAAGCACAATTTAATACCGTGAAATGTATACTGTACAAAAATTACATATAAAATGTTTGTCTGGGACAAGATATGGGCCATATCTTTGAGCCAAACTTCGCTGAAGTACCATTGGTTGGATTGAAACAATTTCATTGGCGACCGATCTTCTTCGAAGTTCGGTCCTCGTCTTCCTACGCAGCCCTTGATATCCGGATTCCCCAGGGGAGGGACGGATAAATCCTTAATGTACATTTGGTGAGTCACGAAACAGTATTTTTAGCCAATCAAAGCAAAATCAGCTGCTTCATCGAAATGCATCGATGTAATTGGTGGATATATACCAATCAAACGCCGTATACGGCACACTACATCCATTTCATTGGTGGAAACTTCTGCTGATCAGGTCAACGTTGGGTGCGACTATTTTTAGTGGTTGTTATTCTGCTTTTTATAAACGAATTGCTTCATTAAAATATCACGAGGTCGATGACAGCCAATCGAAATTCGTAACTTGGCCCTGGGGTTGCTCAAATGTACACTACTATTAATAGTATAATAAAGCACAGAGTAGTACATACTAGTAGTACTAGTACATTGGATAGGGACCGGCGTTGGAGATGCTATTTTATTTCTGAAGCACTACACCATAACACCCGATCAAGTTGGCTTTTTTTCCAATCAATATATTGACAAAAAATATAAACAGTTCGAAACAAATTGTTGACGACATCAAGTGGAGAATGGTCCACGTTACCAACATGTATGGGACGTTGCATACAGTACATCATTCTACTGTCGTTGCATACTAGTGTACTAGTACTGCTAGTAGTACGTTCATGGCGAACTTGCCAATGTCCTTTGCCGATACATCGCAGAAACAAGCATGGCGAATGTCGCCATCAGGATGCATGTGGTCATCAACATTCTCGACCTAGCATAATACTTCGAAGTACTATTAATATTAATATATAGTATGCCTGTAAAAATAACTTCAACACTGTTTTCCAGGGGCCCCCTACCCTTATTATACTTATTTCAAGTCAAGCTTGAAAATTAGGGTACCCCGTTGAATTCAAAGTGTATCTTGACACGCAGCCAATCGGACGAGGTCATTTTATGCGACTTCCACAGCAGATCCAACGCACGACAGCAAACGATTACCATGGGCAATGCGTTGATCGGATGCTGCACGAGCCCTGATGACCATGCTGGTGCGTCCGCCATCCTGTCAAAGACCCCATGAGATGACTGTCTCTTGATAGACGACGGCATGACCGGCCACAAGTCGCCGTTGCTGCAACGCATGCACTCGTTCGACGACGAACATGACTCGTGCTCTGGTTCGACTGCATCGTTGTCGTCCAGGTAATAAACGTCCAAGTCAATGACATGTTGCATGCTCACAATTCCCTCCCTTGATTCAAGTAGCGCCAAATCGTCCATCCTCAGTCCTCGTCCCGCCTACGAAACCACCGGTAGCCGGCTGCTTCGTGACTTTTACCAGCATGTCGTGGACACGGACCACAGGTGTACTTACTTCTCCATTTTGACGACATCTACCCTTGCGATGGTCATTTCACATGATGTTCTGCAGCGATTCGGATGGCGAAGAAGATTCGTTCCATGGCGAGACGGTTCTCCCTGCAACAGCACCTTCCCCTCAACCTCGTCGACGCAGCTTGCTCCTCCAGCACACACAGACGATGCGGCATCTCAGCAGCGCATCGGTGGATCCATTGAACATGTATAGCTCCCTCGGCCTCTTGCATACCGTACGTCCGTCATCCACTCTTGATCGTCCATCCTGTTGAAGTGCTAATATCAGCGCACGTCATGGGACTCCTAGAACGACCCGCTATTGTTGAGCACGGACGATCGAGTGCTTCGGGCCAAGTCTGTCGACTCGCTGTTCCTCCCGCACCAAATAATCCACCACACCACCGGCAAACTCGCACCCCATCACCGCGTACATTACATTCCGTTTGCATACCGTGAAGATGCGTTTTGATTCACTAACTGTCCGTACGTACATATGTACGTAGGATGGCCATACATACAAGCCATTTTGGGCCGATTCCATCAAGCCATCACCCGCCGGTCCCTCGACCGACGTGAATCCTTCCACGACAGCCTCATCATCCACCACGTCCATGGCGCCATTGCCAGCCAGCTAACTCCATTTCTCACCGCCATATATACTGCCATATTGGGATGGAATACAATTTTTTATTTTTATTACATCGCATGGGTGGTTTATTATATTATGTGTCGTGGCATATTATTCTACTCGGTTCAAATGTCTCCACACTACGAAGCGTCCGTTACTGCGTGGGCTTGACCCACGTACTGACCCCTCGCTTGGCGTGGGAGTAGTAAAATTTGCCCCGAATGCTTCGGCTTTCTCGCTTGACCCATCCCGGCGGCAGCTTCTCTTCCTTGGGCATGTCGGCCATTTGTTTGGCGCGCTTTTCCATTTCTTCGGGGTGAAAATGGCAAATTTCCCTATGATTTTTATATTGTGTATAAATGGCCGATAAAAAAGCCTCGAAAACTCTCGCCGCGACATTTGATTGGTCAATATTATATATAGAGAGCCAATCAGCGACGATCCATTTTCGATGGACCAATCCGAGCAACTCGTGCTCGTCATAATAACAATATATTGTCAAGTCGATTTGCTCAATCGAATGACCAGAATAACCAAATCGGCAGACAATCGATCGGTCAACCAATCAAAACCCAGATCACGAATCTAGGAGCCAATCAAATTATCCACTACTCTTCGACCAGTTCAACCTTGAAGTAGTGTGTGACTTAAATTAGTGTGAGACTGGACGAATTTTACATATAAAGGTCACTACAACAAAGAATCGGACGATAGATTTGGGTGCGAATCAGCCCAAAAGTCAACCAAATTTTGGGTAAATGGACAATAACACCAACTGAATCATACCAAACCACCACCACCACAATCATGTCGAATATGGCGTAACCACGAGTTCGTTGATCACTCATTCCATCAAATATAATGGTTCTATATACGAGAGATAAGTTTTCAAACACACGCACCGAAACATGAGCTCCTTGAGGTCGTTTTCGCCCAAATCTTCAAAGTCAAAGCTGTGAAATCGTTCCACTTGGCTGTCGTCGGTGGATTCGACGTAGTACGACGCCAAGTACGGATGCCGCAGGGCTTCTTGAACGCTCATGCGCTTGGACGAGTCAAACACGAGAAGTTTCCACAGCAAATCCAGTCCCTACGGTGAGCGAGAATGAGCTGACAGATACGGAATTTATCGAAAAAAGAAAGAAACATGAGGCAAAGCACAACAATTTTTGTTATTGTCGATTGGATACAAATTTGGGGAGCGGGTGCAATCGAATCGCGCCAACCAAACCGATCCACAATCGATCTGATTGGTTGTTGAATTTCATTGAGAAAGTTTTGATTGGCTAATAATTTTGAGCTCATCTGACGTAGCCAATCAAATCGATTTAAATTCCAGCGAGAAACCACAACACAATGAAATTTCACTCGAAAGCACAATAAATGATTCTTTCTTTTTTACTCCTCGGTAAATTTGTTGTTTTTTCACCTGCATTATGACATATAGAACGCGAATTTAATTATAATAGAATTCAATACAAGGGTACGAAAAACCGAATTTAGCATTGCCCCATACAAAACCGAAAACGAGCCAACTCGCAGCAAAACGGTTTGAAATGATTTGGGAATTACTCCTACGTATGTGTCGTTGATATGCACTTTAGAACACACAACCCAAATATGTTTACTATACAATTCAATATTGTCGATTTAATCAAATTTCCCAATTTTCCTTGGTTCGTGCACAGTCAAGCGAGCACAAATAGAGCCGAGACATCTGATTGGTCAATATCCACTTAACCCTTTCCAGTAGAAAATCGAAAAGAGATTGTAGCCAATCAGCGATAAGTAAGTTCGGATTGTCCAATGGGAGAGATTGGTGCCCGGATCGACAACTACGATGGTCGTGCGATCCAACATTCAATCACGACAACATGGATGCGAATTCAACCCAAATATGTATATATATAATATATATATATATATCGGGTGTGTATATATATATATATATACCCGATATGAAATACCAAATGGACACCACGACGTCGCACGATACGTAGACAATACATACATCCATCAGTAAATGACCGAACGATATTGGTATTATTGTCAAGTCGATATATTCGAAATTGGAGTGTTTGGGTTCTCAATCGTATGAGCAGAATAACCAAATCGGCAGACAATCGAAAATCGACCAATCAAAACCCAGAACTCGTATCAAGTGGCCAATCAAATTATCCAACACCAAATTCATGTGTGACTGAAAAATTAGTGTGATACCGGACGATCTTACAAAAGTCAGGACAAAGGTTATCGATATAGTTGGCCAAGAATCCAAAGTCAACCAAATGTTAGGGGTAAAAGAAAGACAATAGTTATTACCTCGGGGTTGGCGTTGGGAAAGAGCATGGTGGTGTCGATGCCTTGGCGGGTTGGCGTCCGACTAAGCAGCTGGCGGCCCTTGAACTTTTGCGCTTGGGGGTTTTCCTTGAATGAGACTTCTTCCGGCACGCCCAGGACGTTCATGATGAGCTGGAGTTGATGGACATAACTCCGCCCAGGGAACAGCGGCTTGCGGCCCAGCATCTCGGCCATGATGCAACCCGCAGCCCACACGTCGACGCCTTCGTCGTAGGCGCTGCCGAGCAGCAGCTCTGGGGCGCGGTACCACCTTGTGACAACATATTCGGTCATGCCGAGGTCGTCGATGTCCTTGGGGCGAGCCAGCCCCATGTCGCAGATCTTGAGCTGGCAGTCCGAGTTGATAAGGAGGTTGCTGGGCTTGAGATCGCGATGAAGCACGCCGCACGCGTGCATGTGATGGAGTCCGCTGAGCATTTGAAACACAAAGTACCGAATGTGGTCGTCGCTCAGCACTTCCTTAGAGTAAATGATCCGATGCAAATCCATTTCTAACAAGTCCACAGTCATATACACGTCGCGGAAGTCCTGGTACGACGGCGGTGGGATCAAATCCATGAGCGAGAGGATGTTGGCATGGCAGAGGTGCCGCATAAGGCGCACTTCGCGGAGGATCTGCTTGAGTTGATGGGGGTGCCAGATGCAGTCGATGACCTTCTTGATGGCAACGCTGCCGCCCGTGTCTTGGTTGGTCGCGGCGATGACAATCCCATACGCGCCCCGCCCACACACTTTGATCAGGTGGTAGTGCTGGGGGATCACAAATGGCGCGCCGCATACTGTATAAACGTGCATGGTTGCGTCGTCATCGCATAGTTTCGGCTGGAGCGGGTCTGTGGTATTGGCATTATTGCCGGCGGGCGACTTGACCAGCGCGTCCAAGCTGCTAGACGAATCAGCTGCTGTGGCGTCGTCCGTGTTGAGGTTCATCTGTGACCACCCAGGGCGATTCAAGCTCGGCATGTCATCTTTCTTGGCGCTGCTACTGCTGCTACTCTTCCACTGCATGAGCTGGGCCACAGCCAAAGGCGTCGTGGCCACTTGTTTGTCCGGATGGGGAGTTAACGTGCACGAAATGCACAGCTGGACGCGGCCGCAAAACTCGCCGCGGGTCGTGCTCACAGTCACCCATTGCGTATTTGTATTGGATGGATTGGTAGGATTCGACGTTTGCTCTGTCGCAGATGATGTTTGACGAGGCGTCGTTGCGGCGGCTTGCTCCATGATAAACTTGGCCACGTTGACAAACGCAGAGCCTACTTTTACAGGCGGTTTCGACGGGCTCATGTCGACGACATCCACGAGCAGCCGAATGCTGCCTTGCACTGTCTCAAACGGCAACGTGAGCACGGCGTTCCACACGGGCGCCGACAGGTCCCCGCCGCCGCCGCTACTCTGCGCTTTGTTGCGCGCGGCATCCGTCATGCACGGATATGGCTTGGCGATCGATGGCGGCATCTGCAAAGGTGTGTGGGCTGCGTCTGGTTGTTGTGGCCTGGACATTGGGGCAGAAACTGACCGTAGGAGTAAACTCGTACTCAACTTGCGCGTTAATGTGGACGGTAGCAAGTAGGACGACGCGGTGGACGACAGGGATGACACGGATAATGATGGCGCCGTGGTGGCACAAGACACGGGCGCCGCGGCCACGCCAAGATGCGACGTGTGGTCACCCAGCGCTAGACTGAGCACCACGCGGGGGTCGTGCAAGGTACTGGAGCTCTTTTTGGTAGAAATGCTATGGCTACTGACAGTCGAAGTGGACGACGAGAGCAGTTTGAGCCCCGAACCCTGCAATACGCGGACCGTGAGGGTGCCCGAGAGGGGCGTTTGCACCTCGTGAAAGTCTTGGGGAAGGGTGAGGGTGGTGGCGGCGCCGGGTACTTTGTACACGGCGGACGCGGCCACGACGTCGCCGTTGATTTCAAACTTGATGAGGCGGCCGTCTTTGGCAAAGTTGAACTTGTGCACCCAGTTCTGGACAAACTTGCGCCGATCGCGAACGTTTTCGAGCTCCTCCTTGCCAGACGCCACGGCCACCATGTCCTCCATCGCGATGCCTTCGATCTTAAAGTTACTCCAGTTGGTATGCAATGCAAACGTGTGCAGAAACGTCACAAATCCACTCGCGCCACGAAAAGACCCGCAAAATGGCACGGACGGCGGGTAATTCGACGACACCAACATATCTCGATCGAGCAGCCGAAAGAAACGAGAAAATACCTACCACATCAAGGGGTTGTCTGTGATACGGGCAGGTACGATCATGTGTGACACGGTACGTACTTGCTCGGACGGAGGCGGCAGCGTCACCGCCATGTCCCCCGACGTGCGCCAGTTGCCACTGTGCGCCGTGTACAGGACAATCAACATGGCATAAAACTCTTCGATTTCCAGCGGAAACACTGGCAGATCGGGCAGGGACGCCATCGCTTCCTGCGCGAGCCGCATCCATATGACGCGCTCGATGGCCGTGGGCGCGGTGAGCTGCAGCGTTTTGCCGTCGTGGCAGCTAAAGACAAACCCGTTCGTTCGACCGGGTGCCTCCTTGACGCCCTGTATCACATACGACGGCGGCGGCGGGCGGCCTTCCACTGGCGATTGCTGTAACGTCGCCATGAACGCTTCCTTTGATGCAAAGCCTACAGGATGTATATATATATATATATATACATCGAGTTTGGGTGAATACAAGATTTTCACAGGAGGATGACCATATATATGCAAGGCATGGATGGCGATATATAGAGAACGATGGGAGGGAAATATGTATATATATATGTGATAGATATCATACATACGTTTGAGGGTCGTGCCGACCATGACGTAGTAGTGCTTTTCCCATCGCCGCAGCCACTCGGACCGCTTGCTGAGCACGCCTTCCCACTCGACAAGCTCCGGCGCCAGTGCATGCAACCCTCGATTGTCATCTTTATCGTCTTCGTTGGATTCGCCCATGGCGAGGGCATCTTGTGCGTCAATGAGCATCGTCTGCACGTCGGCGCTACCGTCGGCAGAGGTGATAGACACGCGGCCTTCGTCTGACACACACACAGTTTGCTGGTACAGCTTGGCTTCCTTCCCGCCTCGAACTAGCCTGGCATCGCTCAGGATCTCCGCCGCTGTGTCGGACAGTTTTCCGAAGTCCACACGATCGCTGGATTGAGGTGACGCGCCTAACGACAGCCGGCCATCCGACGACGTCATGCCGTTCAAACTGGCACGGAATGCTTCATCCAGTCCAAGATCGTCTGCCAGAGACCTCCTCCATGCTCGCTCCCGCTCTCCACTCGTGTAGCAGTCGCTCTGTGTTCTAAAGCGAGGCGTCCTGGATGTCTTCGTCGTCGCCATGACTGTGTCGATGATGAAGGGCGAAACAGTTGCACCACGCGTAACGCAGGCAATATTTTTTTGATACAACATTTTATTATACTATTAACTGCAAAAATGAACGTATTTGAGCCAATTTTTAGGAAATATTCAAAATCTGGCATACTATTAAATTGAATTGACTGTGAATGCACCAATGCACGCACCGATGGTCCTTGGCAGGGTAATGTAGATAATGATTAAAGGGTGTCCATCGGGCGTGGGTCTACGACGACGAAGCGCTGGAGACATGGACAAGAAGCTGCTCGTGCAGCGTCAGAATGGTGGCGCGCAGAGTCTCGCAGTGCTTGTTAAGCGCCTTGCGCTGGTCGCGCACACAGTCCTTTCCCGACTTGAGTTGGGCGGTGATGACGCCGTCGATGCCGCTGTACTGGAGCTTGTCCAACGAGCCGACCATCTGCGCCAGCGAGTTCTTGGATTCGATCAGTTGGGCCCGCGGAATAGTCGGCGAGGCGTTGTGCACGGTCACTTGCCACTCGACTTCCTTCACCTTTCGTTCCAGTCGGTTCACGAGCGACTGGAGTTCCGTCAACTGGTCCAAGGCCGACTCGCTCGCATTGCTGTAGATGCGCTGACGCGGAGGGAACACGTCCTTGAACATGGAGTCGGTGGCGGCGGCGATAGTTTGTGACACCCCTCTGTATAATATTGGCGACCAAGTGGCGTGGTATCCGGAATGCAACCTCATCCGGATACTTCACCAAATATAGCGTTCGGCAATGTAGACAGTTGGAACGTGTGCCATCATTATACCATCCTGCAGTGCGAACACATGAGTGGTTATGCAAGCCAATACTCTACTGCGAGCATCTACCATAACGTTACTAGGTAGTTCTAGTCCTTCGCACAGTATTCTATGACAAGGGAATCGTTCTTTGCTCCTACAGGTATGGGCCGTACGTTTACAAGGGTTGTCATTCAGATTGGCCCCTCCTACAACACTCATCCACTAGCATGTGTCAGGCAATGTTAAGTCTTGGCCGCGATCGCCACTTGGTACTGCGCGAACCATGCATCTGGCGCCAGCGTCGGCGGCTTTTTCCCGCCGGTAGGACAGATGGACATGGCCTGCCGCAGCTTTTGCTCGATCAAGTGCACTGTTTTGGCATCGTTCGACAGCATCCGGACCTCGGCGAGGAACTGACTGGCGCCACCACTGCCCACTGCCTTCGCCTTTGCCGTCCACGTCACGTCGTCGTTGGCGATTTCCATCAACATCAAGTCGACCAGTCTCGCTGCCACGTCATCGCCTTCCTCGGCATGTCGCTAAGTACTCCATCAAACCACCAAACCCACATAAAACCATACAAAGATACAGGAAAGATATGGCCAGAACAATGAATAGTACCACGATTTGTTCAAGGTGATCAGGCGGGACAGTGGACAAATCGTTTTGAACGTTCGTAACGAACATCGACTTGGCGCCATCATTGGGCAGGGTTTCTTGGCCCAAATGGAGCTCTGGCCACCGCATGCTGTTGCCCACTAGCGCTTTGGCCAGTCGCACCAGCGCCACGCTCGCAATCTCGTCGCTTAACGAACGCACCTTGGACGTTTCAGAACTCGTAAGAAACGTCTTATATCACATTCAGTCGAGAGAAAAACCATGTCGCAGACAGACTGATATATATATATATAATTGTAACTACCTTGGACCCGAACGACGCTTTTTCGATCTGCGACGAGGGACACACGCCTTGAAGCACCTCTTGTACCCGTGGGAAAATGTCTTGTTCAATGTATTGCAATGTGAGGAGCATACTCACCACCTAGTTACGACACTAATTTAGTACGTCATCTGTAGTCAAGTGTAAATATTCTCATTTTGATAGCTCTAATTTTTATACTCGTATAGACATATATCCAAGCTGGAACAATTAAATGAGTACTTTATATTATTATATATATATATATATATACATCAAGTGTACCTGTGCATACTTAATTGACGTGGTGGTTTTTGGGTTGTCCACCACCGCCTTGATGTCTTGCATGTACTGGACAACCACGAGCTCGCTTTCGTACAAAATCGAGAGGTGGATCTCCGGGAGGCTACGGGTCGAATCAGAATTATCCGATATATATATATCGAGTGTCCGTCTTGGAAGAATCAGGTGTTTGGAATCAGACTCAGATATTTGACTAGGAATCCCATCATGCGTACAATATACACCATCCGCCATCGAAACAAACACACGCATGCATCCTCAAACAACAACGTGCTAATATATATATATATATATATATATATATGTACGTACTGCGACGACGCACACGACGGGTGCACGAGCTTGACCATGTCCCGCAGGTACTGCTGAACGTACCCTGCAAATACGCGCGCGCTCTTGACCATCGCCACGTCCTTGTGCTTGTCGTCGCTCCGAAGCGTCATCGTAACAAGTTCCCACCGCTCGCGCTTGACTTCGTCTTTGGTTTTCCACTATAAAAAAGAAAATATTAAAATATTACAGTCCAGCAACAACGCACAGCCACAATATATATATATATATATAAATACTTTGAAGTGCATACTCCGAGGTACGTAACAATAAACATACTTCACAGCCACAACATATATATATAAATACTTTGAAGTGCATACTCCGAGGTACGTAACAATACAAATACGTCGAGGATATATAATTACTGTTGAAAACAACAAAGTATAGAACATCAAAACATTTTTAAAGCTATATATATATATTCTAGCTGGGACGGGATATATCCTGCCAGTTAAGACAAATTCCACACCTTACAATGCACATATAATAAGTTCTAGTATCGTCAATCATCTTTCAACTACGTCGGCAGCGCCACATCATAATGCAAATCATCTTCGTCATTCTACCGATACACACTTGCCAAGTAGATAGATAGATCTATTGTAAAAATTGCAATCATCCCCGTACAGAATTGGCAAATACATAGATTTATCTATTTGTTTTGCTGGTGTACTTGTTGGTACCTTGATCGTTTTCACATATGACCGAATGTAGTGCTGCAGCGGGAGCTGAAAATGCGGCGCCAGGTACGTGGCGATGGGCAGCCCCGCGAGCTCGAGCTGACGCGCGCCGTAAAAGACTTTGCGAAGGCACGTTGCGATGGTTTTTGTGGCTGCTTTGAACTCGACCACGTCCTTTGTCACAGACGATGGCGAGATGGGGGACAAAATGGATGGTGGTGGTGGGCTGCACTCAAACACGTGCAAAGTCACTTGGGTCGCAAAATGACTCAGCTGGTCCGTCATCCACATCGTAAACGACACGAATGGACCACTCTTGTGTCCGTGAAACCTACAAATACCCACAAGTGTCATCCATCTACCCGAACGAAGAATGGAAAAATATATCGGCAACATATACTTCTAAACATGGCACTCGACATATATACATACATATATATATATAAATATATCGTACGCATACATGTACAGCCCGTCTACTACCCCATGCCCGCGGCGTGGTCGTTATTGACGGATGAATGTGTATATATAGCATATATTGTGCTTTCGAGTGAAATTTCATTGTGTTGTGGTTTCTCGTTGGAATTTAAATCGATTTGATTGGCTACTTCAGATGAGCTCAAAATTATTAACCAATCAAAACTTTCTCAATGAAATTCAACAACCAATCAGATCGATTGTGGATCGGTTTCGTCGGCGCGATTCGATTGCACCCCCTCCCCAAATCTGTATCAAATCGACAATATACCAGTGATATACACATCCACCAGTCATCCACATATATATATATATATATGATATAAATCCGGTGAACATCCCAGGCATCCAATCGACTATAAGTGTACTACACCAACATTACACAAGCTACCAATATCTTCGAGACCGAATCAAAACTCTCAAGTCAGTCGTCTTCGCTCTGGTTTCAACCAAGTGTATACATCATCATAAACCAATACTGCCACAACTCAGATACAATAGACTAATAGAGAAAGGGAATGAGAATATATCTTCGTACACGACGAGAAAGTCTTGGTAGCACATGAGCAGCGTCGTAAACACGGCGCGGGACAGCGCCAGCACATACGCCTCCACGTGTCCCGTGGCTGTGACGTGGTGCACCTGGCTCACCATGCGACGCGCGTACCCGTCCAGACACAAGGCGGTCGCGGGTACGACTTGGTCCAGCTCAAGCAGATGCAGCACATGTCGGTCTCGGTGCGCGCCGTCGACACCCGCCACATGCCGCACAAACCGATCGACTGCGGACGCCACCACCTCGGCCACGTCCTAGACGTGACATTTATATATATATATATTTCAAAGTATATATATATAAATATCCACAGGATGTGGTGTGTGTCTTGGCTTATCTAGAGACTGTAGTCACACCATGATGATATCAAGTAAAAAGCGTAGGCAAGATATTGTCGATTTGATATACAAATTTTTGGGGCGGGGGTGCAATCGAATAATCACGCCAACCAAACCGATCCACAATCGATCTGATTGGTTGTAGAATTTCATTGAGAAGGATTTGATTGGCTAATAATTTTGAGCTCATCTGAGGTAGCCAATCAAATCGATTTAAATTCCACCGAGAAACCACGCCACAATACAATAATGAAATTTCACTCGAAAGCACAATATATCGACTTCATCATATTTTAACGCTAGTTAGTGGCATAATTCCAAAAATATAGATATAAAAGAATATGACTGGGGATGGTTATATATTTCAACGTACAGGGTTGGCCTTGGCAGCCACGACAAGATGTACAAACGCGTCCAAGTCGTTTTCAAACAAGTGCATGTCCAAGCTATGCGCCAAGTCATCCCGTGCATCCTGGAGGCGTTGCTGCTCAATATTAATATTATTATTATGGGAAGCCGACAAGGCGGAGGTCGCAGCTGTGCAGGGCGAACGGCCTAGAACCATGTCACACATGGTGGTTATCTTTCAATCGAGGAGGACTTTGGATGGTACATGCATGGATGGATGTATCAGAGCGGCAATCACACGTCGACATATGGAAACGGAATGGTCACCCATTTACTCACACACAAAAATCATCTGTGACAGCGTACCAGGTACGTGAACCACCACTCCCCCCTCCCCAAGCGAATTGTGTGGACAAGCAGGCGATTCCAACGACGTTGCTGAGCAATGATTCGACGACACAATGGCAGGAATGCATGTGGGACGACTTTGCAGCAACTGAAGCGCGCGTTTGCAGTCGACGATCGCGGCGCGCATGAGACTGACGTGGTTTTCCATGTGCCGGATCTCCGTGGATGCGGCCAAGAAGGTCGTGTAGTTGGCGCAAATGTCCGCTTTGAGTTCGTGGATGATCACGTCCTAGGGCCATATGAATATTATCACAAGAAACAATATATATATATTGTCGATTTGATACAAATTTGGGGAGGGAGTGCAATCGAATAATCGCGCCGACGAAACCGATCCACAATCGATCTGATTGGTTGTTGAATTTCATTGAGAAAGTTTTGATTGGCTAATAGTTTTGAGCTCATCTGAGGTAGCCAATCAAATCGATTAAATTCCAACGAGACACCACGCCACAACACGAAATTTCACTCGAAAGCACAATATATAAATCATTGGCCGCTGGACCCTAAACCTCATATATACATACATTCATACACACGAGTGTTGTTGGTCGTCGCACGTTGTGGCGCAACAACGTCATACCTTTTGATCCAAGAGCACGTGGCAGTGGCTGTCGATTTTGTCGGGCGGATTGCGCTTGAGAAATGATTCTGCGTATGCTTTGGCGTCAAAGTCGGGGGAGCTCATGAGGTCGCTGAGTTTGGACCTGTCCGAGGCACTGAGTTTCTTGGCTAGTTTGTCTGGAAGGCGCAACGACGAGATCGTTGTAGTGTCCTTAAACGCAGTGGAAGGGCCGAGCAATAGCTGGGCAGACACTAAGGCCTCGCCCCACGCCAAGAGGTCAGTGTCACTCAAGTCAGGGAATTTCCTGCCCAGGGCTTGTAACACGTCGTGGGTCGTGAACGACGTCTTCTTCTTTTGAACGGCCATTTGCTGTTTGATGTAGTCGGCCACCTTGGCCAATTCCGCTCCTAACATGTCGAGAATGGGTAGGAAAACGTGGAGGATGAGACAATGCACACGCACGGGAGCGGGACTTGGGGTGGTGCGAGTGCGTGGCGGAGAGAGGAGCGACGTCTGCAACGTACGGCATCAACGCCCCGATCCATCCGTCGCGGTCGTCCTCGGTGGCCGCGCGTAGCTCGGTCTTCTTCTTGCCGACCGTCACGTTGAACGCAAACCCTTTGTTCGTGAACGACGTCGACGGAGCGCTATGGCTCGAGTCCCCAGAGGTCGCATTCGCCGCCTGAAGCTCTTCCACAGACACAATTTCCGTAGCAGATATCGCAAACGTCGGTGTCGTGGCGTCCATCGAATCAAAGTAGATCCACTGGGTCGTCGTCACGTAGAAGTACTTCTTCTTCCATCCCGTCCGTCCCTGAAGTTCATGGCGTTGTCACGAGGTTCTATGGCGCTAGATCTGCACGTACCTTCTTCTCCAGCGGTCCCCCATATACAGCGACCTGCGCCACTTCACGCGCCGACACCATCCTTCTTCTCGCAACCTTTTGATGCGGGCGGAAGTTTCCGAGATCTTGACTTTCTACGTTCAGCAACGGATTTGATTGGCGCAGCCCACATTATCCGTACCAATCACTATATTATCCACAGGTTAGATCTTTGACGGACATGAATCATGCCGCAGCGACGCCGCGTGTGAAGTTCCGGCAGCACCGTCTGCTTCCATCAGGATGTATGCAACGGAAGGGATTCAACAACCTGCATGTTGTTGGCGGGGACGTGAACGGAAAGTACTTTGCCTTCTGCTCCACTCTCGCCGTCTACGTGTACGACATCACGTCGTTCCAGCTGCACCGGTTGCTCTCGACGGCAGACAACCTCGCGGGGCTGGCGTGGTGCTCGTCTCCTCAGCACGGCCATTGGCTCGCAACAGTGAGCCTCTCGCAGAAGGTAGTGCTGTACGACGTCGAGACTGAGCAGATCCTGTACCACTTGCTCCTGCCATACCACCCCGTGTCCTTTCAGTGGCACCCGTCGTCGCTTCAGCTTGTCGTGGCCACGTCTGACCCGAGCGGGAAAACGTCGGCGGCGTCGACGCTAGTCGGGTGGACCATCGACCACACCAATAGATCCACATCAGTCACGACACTCCAGCGTGGCAACACTGGCATGCTAGCCAGTCCGAGCGCTATCACCGTGATTCGGTTCAACACTGCTGGCACGTTGGCTATTGGGTTCGAGTACGTATAACCTCTCGTTCTTGACAACACTCATCTTGACAACACTCATATAACATGGTTCCAGGAACGGCAACCTCGCCATTTACACTGCCAAATCCCCCACCCTGCGCCTTCTAGACAAGAAGAAAATGTCCAAGAAGCAATCGACAGGAGCCCCACCTGGCAGCCCCACTGCCAACGCCATCATCGACTTGCAGTGGGATCCATTGTCGACGATCTACCTCCTCATAGCCACACGAGATGGACACTGCGCACTGTGGGAGGTCACCGACGATACTGGCACGCCGCTGCACACGTTCGACAAGCAAGGCTCGGGCACGTCCGCCGTAGCATGGTACCATCCCTCTTCTGTCCATGTTATCATCATTGGGTTGCCAACATACGATTGACTAGGCTGCCGTGGGGCTCGGGGCTGTTCGTCACAGCCAACGCCCGCACCGGCAACCTAAAGCTGTGGAACGTGTCACAGTCCACCCCCCTGGAGCACGTTCGTGTGCGCCCATCGGGGATCGGCATCCACGCCTTGGCCTTGTTGCCGTCCACGCAGCACGTTTTATGCGCGTCCAGTGACGGCTCCGTCGCGTTGTACCACGTTCCAAGGCGACAATTAGCTTGGCAAAGTCAGGTAAGAGTACTGTAGTCATCTTCTATACATTGAGTCGCCTTGTTCGACAAGTATGGCAACGCAACTATCTACCTTCGCAACAACAAGTACAGTTATACGTGTTAGTTTGTGGCAACTTTAGTGGCTTCAAATACGTGTGTCCTTCATGAGTCTATTCAATAAAAACGACCTCCGTTTCCATCTTGCTGCAACTGTAACCACAACAATTCTCTGGTATCTGCAGGCAGGCCACAAAGAGACCATCTTCGATCTGCGCTTTCAGCCACAGTCGGCCCAAGTCCTCGCTACATGTGGCCACGACGGCGCTGTCCGGGTGTGGAATACCAGCACCATGGAGTGCACCCACCACCTCCAGCCTCAAGACGTCGGCGGCATCGCGTACAGCGTCGCATGGTCCCCTTCGAACGCCAACCGCCTCGTGTCTGCGTCGTCGTTGGGGACGGTGTACGTGTGGGACCTGGCGGGGACATTGGCGCCGGCGTCGCAGCTCACGCATCACACGGATGCCGTCTACTGCGTGGCGTGGCGGCAACCAAGTGCCAATAATGCCAAGTCTATGCTCGCGTCTTCGTCAAAAGACAAGTCGGTCGTGATCTTCTACGACGCTGTTACTTCGTCGGCATCGCCTTCGCGAGAGGCGGGTCATTTGCCGCTGTACATTGTGCGGCGCTACGGGCTTCCTTGTACGTTGTTTGTTCATGAGGGTTTATGGTGGTCGAGTGAGCTGTGACGTGGTGGTCGTGCCACTGGAGTTTGTATGTATGTATATATATTATATATTATATATATATTATTGGTATATCTGGCACCACTGCTACCACTTTTTTTGGTATGGGAATCTAACGTCGTGAATGTCTCGATTTATTGTTTTGGTATGGGAATCTAACGTCGTGAATGTCTCGATTTATTGTTTTCGTTGAATCGTGAGGGGATCAACGAGTGGTCATGTGGTGAGGTTTGCATATTTGTGCGAGTTAGGTGACTTATAGTATTGGCACATAGTTTGATATATAGCACAATCGGTCAACCCAAATCGATCTGAGCTCATCATGGCAATGGTGATGGCATGTATATATATGTTCGTGATAGGTTCGGCCTATGGATGCGCATGGCAGCCTGGGAACAGCGGCGTGCTGGCAGTTGGGGGGGGCGATCACGTGGTTCGCCTCTTTGACGTGGACAACACCGACATGGACACCCCCCTGCGGGTTCTCGCTGCCCACGAGGCGCGGGTGTTCCATACAGTGTGGTCCCCCCATCAATCTACCCACGCGTGGCTGGCCACCAGTTCGGACGACTGCACGGTGCGCGTGTGGACGTTGCCTCCTCCCAAGGGCCTCCAGGCGCCGCCGCCGCCGAGGGGGGAGGGGGGGCGAACGGAGGCAAAGGAGTCAAAAGACGCCGACGAGGCTGCCGTGGTACCGTACGTGACGTTGAAAGGACACTCCAACTTTGTGCGTGCACTTGTATGGAGTAGTTCCCCCTCTACGAATAATAGTAGTAGTAGCAGTCGTCGTCACAACACCACACGGTACGTCATACAGTAGTACGTCGTCGTGCGTTCTCATGACATTTTTCATCCAGTCAATGGTTGATCATGCCTACTGCAGTGTGTGTAAGCTAGGCTAGACTAACGGTTTCATCTTTCGCTTGATAATTGTAGTCAAAAGCAACAACGTGGCGACGACCAAGCAGCCGACGGGGGCAACGACGATACTGCAGAACGGCCATCGCACTGCTCGCAACCGTGGTCCAGAACTCCGCCGCCATTGCTGCTGAGCGGGAGCTGGGACGGCACGATTCGTATTTGGGACGTGGAGCGACGGGAGTGTTGCGTGGTGGTGTCGGATCACTTGGCGGACGTGTACGGCATCGCCACGCACCCGCAGGCCCCGAGCGTGTTTGTGTCGTGCTCGAGGGACACCACCGTGAGGTTCTGGGGGCTCACGACGTCAGCCACCGACCAGGTCGTGCTGCAGATGATGCTGCAGATGACATCAGCATCCTCCTCGAGGGAAGAAATGGCCGAGTTGGCCGCCGTAGTGGCCGCGCAGTCGAGTGCTGCGAGCAGTGGCGTGACCAATCTCATGGCGCTGTTGCAAGAGAACAACATGGGGGGTACTAAGGGGAGTCCATCGGCAGTTAAGCCGGCGAAGTCGACGACAACTACCGCGACGATGGTCGTGCCAGCCGAAGGACAACTGCTGGCGGTGGCCTTGGAGCATGCGCGGCGGCTCGAATGTGGCCACGGACGTCGATCGAAACCCACCAAGTTGAACCAACGCGATGCCGTGCGAGAGGCTGCGACACAGTATCTCAAGGCTGGCGCTGTCCAAAAGTATGTATGTGGACTTGATTCCATCCACGGGAGCGCCGTGTGGGGTGCTGTGAACTCCACAGTTCAAAGTGACACGGGGGATATATGGCTAACATTTGCTTGTATTATATATATTGGGGCGTAGGTACTGCCAATTACTCGTCGAAGTGGAGGACTGGGAGGCTGCGTTGGCGATGGCGCCGGTCGTGTCGATAGAGTTCTGGCGGCAACTGGCGGCCAAGTATGCCGATGTTTTGCAGGCAAAGCAAGACGAGTCTGCTGTGATGTACTACTTGGCAACGCACCAAGTCGCCAAAGCAGTCGATGTGTTGCAAGGACGCGGGCAGTTCAACGACGCATGTGTGGTAGCTAAAGCGCACCCTAGGATTCACGGCGTAGTAGCGGCGACCCCCCCCGTTTCGGGATCTCTGGACTGTGGCACCGTGACCTTCCCCCCTGTTTCGTCCCCATCCCCCCCTTTTGAAACAGCTAGCCCCAAACCAAAGGCGATGTTGACCACTCGTTTCAATACCGTCGACGATCAAGTCAAAGACGTTGAAGATGACAACTGTTCGACCCCCAACGCAAACAAGTCGGCGCACGAAGTAGCTGGAACACGTTTGCTACACAAGACGTTCACGTGGCTGGCAGATTTGTACTCGGATCGAGGTGAGCCGGTGCTGGCGGCGTGCTGCCATTTGGCTGTAGCCCAAGTCCTCGACGCCATCGATCGATTAGTTCGAGGCGACGAAGTACGTCAAAAGAACTCGTAGTGGTTTGATATGGAAAGAGTATTTCGAATATATGTTTTTTATCATACTTTGTCATATGTGGGATGTTGTAGCTCGAGCTGGCGTGGATGTTGAGTCGATGGTACGATCTGAAGCCATCCGACGTGTTGGTGGCGGCGGTGGTCGGGCGCTGCGAAGTGCTGGGCGATGGAGCGTTGGCTCTTTCGTTTGCAAACTTGATGGCATGTCCTGAGAAAGAAGTACGTCCCAGAGGATAGCCGCCGCCAGAATGACCATACAGCACAATGATTGATCATGGAAATGTCATATGAAATGTATGGTTTGATTGAAAGTTGGTATTAGATGGCGCTGGTGTACGTCCGGTTGAACCGACCGAAGGAGCTGCAAGAATTGGCTCAAGTTGCTAACGTTGAAAAGCTCGAAGACTCGTTGGAGGCGTTTGTTTCTACGTGCCAGGTACGCTCGAAGCAAGTTCGTTTTCCCATTCGGCAATACTTTGGGGGGAATATGTAGGTCGTTGAAGCCATTCAAACGTGTTTGGTGTTGGACCGGGTGCCTCAGGTACACAGCCCATGACCAACTCGATAGTGCAGACTACATACATGGTCATATATGGGGTTGATACCTTGGATCGTTGGTTTCACTTGGGCGTGATGATGGGATTGATTGAATGATTGACTTTCACAGGCGATTGAGATGGCCACAACACATCTGCAAGGTGCGATGCTTTTTGTAATAACTGTACTCGTTGTCGAATTCCGTTTTTTGTGTGAGTGGGTATAGCTGCGTTGAGTACGTCGTCGCTGTCGGTGGCGTCCTCGCCGACAGTGTCGCAGAAGCAGCTCCTCTTGGACGTCACGTATGTTCTCCGGTCCAGCGACCTCTCCCAAGTCGACACCAAGTACGATTATCATAGCTCGTTCATTGGAATGTGTTGATTTTGACATGGGATACAGTGCGTGCCGTACATACTCATTTGTGGATTGAATGGTTAGACCGAGAGCTATGACGTTGGCTTACATGGCGCTGGCAGGAGCGCTGCGAGCTATGGACGCGCGGTACCCTCTTGTGTTGGTGTCATACTTGATGCAACTGGTACACACCCAAGTCCACAGCTACAACGTCCCGTTTCCAGTCGCGATGACCAAGCTGTTGCTTCTGGTAAGTACTGGTCGTCAAGCTATAGTTGTACAGCAACTCTGCACGAGTACCGTATACTTCTAGAAATAGTTCTGCAGAAACTCTGTGCGTGTGGACTCGCCATCAACTGGCTCGTAACTTTGGGGTACTATTCTGTGTAGGAAGCCCAATATGCCAGTCGCATCGATATCGCCAAAGCATCGTTACTTGTCACGCAACTGTCGGCCAACATCTCCAAGGACGAAACAACTCGACTGGAGGATGGCGATTTCTGTGACGAGGTTGAGGCCTTGCAGCGACACGTACAAGCCCAGCCACGAGGTAGGCCATGCATGCATGATTCCGTCAGTCGGAATCGTCATGCGAATGCATTAGATCGTTGGCTCAACCATGCATACACGACTGGCGCCGTGGTTGTGTCGGGAGCCAAGTTGCCGTCCGCGGGACAGACGCGCAATCCCATCGTGTCCATTTTAACCGGCGAGGTAGGGTTGAATCCGTTGTGTGTTCGTGTGGATTTCGTTGATTCGATGAAATTCCAACAGGGGGATGTTGGTCCTAACTGTTGGCTGAGCAGGTGGTTCATGGCCCGTTCGTCCGGCTCGAAGACGAAGTGTCGGCGCTGACGCTGGAGGAAGCCATCATGTGGCATCGCGTCAACCCGTTCTCGCCCCTCTGCACAGGCGACAAGTTGCGATTTGATTGAAAATCGACATCAAAATACAATTCTGAACGTACACTACCCGTACACTACCCGTACACTACCCGTACACTACCTGTACACTACCTGTACACTACCCGTACACTACCCGTACACTACCCGTACACTATCCGCATATGCTGCAATTTGCCCTTTCAGGGGGTGCTGGGTATCGATCATTTGTAAACAACTCGCTCGGCAATGCGTGTACGTGGTGTCACTTAGTTTTAGTGCCTGGAAAGTCGTCGAATTCGTGCTTTGGATCGAATGTCCACCCGTCAGACTCGATCAAGTCGAGGGCACGTGGGGTCGTTTGGTCCCCTTGACTCCGTTGGGGTCGCAAAGGCGGTTCGTGTTGGATGCGATACAGTTCGCTCTGGATGTCTGTCATGACGAGGGGTGACGACGTGTTGTCACGGACATCGTCCAGCACGCCATTGGCCATGAGCTGCCGATGCCGCGTTTCCAAAATCGCTTCCAACTGCACCAACGCTTCGTACGACCGGCTCCGCCTTGGTGTGATTGCCGTCATGTCGTCCTCTGTCATGTCGTCGTCGTCATGGATGAGGCTGTGGGTACTTGTGACGACGTGGACAACAGACGGCGACGCATCCTTGAGGCGGGGAGGGGGAAGAGGAGGTAGTGGAGGCTACTCGACTCAAACCAAATGCTAGGATGGTTCAAGCTATGGTGGAACTAGTACCTCAACGTGGCCTGGTGGGGATGGAATATCCATCGAGCTGGTGTTCTCGATGGCGGGGACGACTCGCTCATGCGTAGATAGACGCTGCAATGCAAGCTTGCGCTACGAGAGTCATCGATGTCGTCAGTGTCGGTGCTTGGATGAGCAGGGAGCATGCGAGTTAGTTGCGTACATCGGTCAAGATTTGCAGCAGATAATCGACTGTTTCGGCTGGCATCATATCAACATCGTTCAAAGCATGGCGCCAATCACTTGTATCGTCGGTGGCGGCATGTACTGCTGCTGCGGTTGAAGGCAACGCGATTGCATTGCCGGCTGGGGAATGCAATGTCGTCTGCGTCCCAATAGACCGCGTGGACGTCGTGCTCTTTCGCCCTTTGGTGGAAGCACGCATTGGCGACGACGAAGATGACACTGACCTGTGGTCCCACGCCGCCGCTGCAAACGGATCAGTGCTGGGGTCGTGAGTTCGCCACACCGTCGACGTGATGTCATCGACAGCTGTCGCGCCAGGCGCATACACGGCAGAATTGAACCTTGGCTTCCTCTTCAGGTTACTCGGTTGCTTCCTCGACCCACCAGCAGGTTTGGCTGTTGCATTGGGCGGTGCTAGCGCTTGTGCGTTGTTGCGTTTCCACGACATGACGAAATGATGATGATTGCGCTTGGTGGTGTACGGATATTCAATTCATAGATATCCGGAAAGAGCAATGGTTCAACAATCATGACGTGGCAGTCCCAGGCGCCGCCTCGCCAAAGGTCACTTATGCTCTAATACTAGACTGGGTTCAATCGAAGAAATCGCGTACGACCCTCATAAGTCCTGTCCTTCTAGTCATACAACATCATCGTAACCATGGTGCATTATTATTATTGTGCACTTTGCACGTTTGATTTACGCTTTACTGTACTTATTAATAATATACAGAAACGAGTTGAAAAATGAAACGTGCTTCACGTTTGGCTAACAGGCGCATCTGTCGGTGAAGGAACAAACCAAAGAAACCTTACGATGGGGATATGTTATTCCCGCGTACGATCAGCTGCAAACATGTTGGATTTGCTAGCACACATTCATTTCGCACACAATCCTTCCACCAAAACGTGAATGCGAACGAACATGCAACAAGTAACGACTATTCTTGGCGAGCGATTTGCAATCATATGTTCCAGTGATACAATGGCTAACTGCATATCTCGTCTGCAAATACATACGACCGGATGGTCAATCTTATCCGAGCGGCAAAGAATGTTCCTCCACATCGATCGTCCCCCCTTCCCATCAAACGACTTTGAACAATTTCCTCATAATTCAATTCCTTGGGATCCCCCCACACCCACAACTGACTTATGAATATGCAGCCCGACGAGTTCAACCGACAGCCACGTCGACGAACGACAAAGATGGCTACCGCCGCCGCCCCCCCCAAGTTCCTTTGCCACCTCCACGCCATCCTCGCCGTGGAGGACCCCAACGTTGTCGCATGGTCCGATGATGGCTCGTGCTTTCACCTGTATGACGTGAATCGTCTCGAGCGCGAGGTCCTGCCCAAGTACTTCAAACACAACAAGCTGTCGAGTTTTCAGCGGCAACTCAACTACTTTGGGTTTCGAAAGTGGACCAAGACCCAGTCGTGTGTGTGTACGTTCAGCCATCCCCGCTTCCACCGCGATTCGACCCCCGCGGCGTGGGGGGCCGTGAGAAATCCACCCGTGCCCCGCCCCCAGGGGCCCCTACAGCACCATCCCCCCCCACAGCAGCAGCTTGTGGACGCTGGCGCTTCGGTCCATTGGAAACAAGACATCGCTACGATCGAGCTCAAGGGTCTGGAGCAGGACGACGACGACGACGCGTTCCGTCTGCTCGCTGGCGACTTGGACTCGGTTTACATGTACGATTGGGAAATGTGCATCAACCTCCTGCTCGATGACAGCGTGTTTGTCGAGTGGGCAGAACCGAACCAAGACACTGTCCTAGCTGCGTCGGTGTAGGCGTTGCTCTTGCGTCCACCCAATCATCATTTGCATCCTGCATGCCAGCCTAATTATGAAACCCTCGAACCCTCACAATAGAAACTTATACGCTTAATAGATCGTCCTACGATGACTGAAGGCTCATGAAGGAGCACAGTTCCTAGTGCTATATGATTGTTTGTGTGTGTGTGGGAAGATTTCCGTTAAGGAGCTGTCGTCGCGGGGATACTGTGCACCAAAATGAATGAAATGAATACTATTGGGTCCATGTGGTTACACAACAGTCTCAATCAACTCCATCGATACAACATTACTTGTTTGTCCAGGCCGGGGTGGTCTTCCCGAGGAAGGCTGCAATGCCAGCCTTGGCGTCATGCGATCGCATGTTATCCATCATCACCTACATATGCCACCGTGCCACATATAGCTCCTTGTCGTTGTCATGACGCCATATCACAGTTGCTTACGGCGGAGGCAAACGCGTATGCATCTGGTACGGCCATGTCCACTTGCTTATAAAACGCCGATTTGCCCACCCGAGTGGCCAGTTGACTCTTCGCAGCGATCGTCGAGGCAACATCATATACCGTTGTCTCCAATTCCTACACCAATTTGCCTCAACTTGGGCAGATGGAACGAATTGTCAGACTTACCGCGTCGGGCACGGCGGCATTGATGAGCCCCATTCGCGCGGCTTCCTCAGCAGGGATCATGTCGCCTGTCAACAGCATTCGCATGGCATCTTTGCGGCCCACAGCTCGAGCCAAGGCGACTCCTGGCGTGCTGCAAAAGAGTCCAATGTTCACGCCTGAGGGCAAGTGTCAGTCACCACGTGCAACGATGTTATTGTACCTGGCGTGCAAAATCGAGATGACTTGGAAGCATACGCGAGGTCGCAAGTGGCCACGAGCTGACATCCGGCGGCAGTGGCCACGCCGTTCACCTTTGCGATCACGGGCTGCTGCATGTGCAACATGAACTGCATGAGATCGGTGCATTCGAGAAAGGTAGCGTCGATCACGCTCGCGCCTTGCGATGATGCACTGAGAATGCCGCATTTGTCTTCGTCTCCGTCATCACGGGCTGCCAATATGTCCTTGAGGTTGTGTCCAGAGCTAAACGCTGGACCTTCGGCGCTGAGCACCACCACCCTGGCAAGCAACACACATGAGAAGAACTCGTGATATGGCGATACGAACCGAATAGAGTCATCGTTGTGGATGTCGTGAAGCGATGTCTTGAGTTCTCGTATCAACTCTAGGCTGAGCGCATTCCTGGACTTGGCATGAGCCAACGTAAGCTCGCAAATCCCGCGGTCGACGATCACCTTGCGCAGCATGGTGATGAAATGTTATCGAAAAACACATGTAACTACTTAGTAGTACGGTAGTACTAGTACTACTAGTATTTCTATCCTCTGAAATATTAATAATACTACTACTTCTATACTTCTGCCCTTCTAATTAACTGTAAAGAAAGAAATGGTACTAGTATTAATAATACATACTATTAATAGTAGTACTACGTAGTACTAGTAATACTCTCCGGATAATGTGTGATTGACCCCTTAAGTGCGATAATCGTACTTATACGGCTACATGTGCATTGGTTGGTGTCTTGGCAATCACATTCCGGCCGAGATACCTGTCGAAGATGGCGCAACGACTCCCTGCCGCGATGCGCAAGATGCCCAAGCGCGAGAAGTTCATCCCTTCTTTTCCATCATGGAACATCTTCCGCGGTGACTTGGTACATGCATGCATTACCCACAGAGCCATCGCGAGAGTTGCTCACCTCAACTGGTGTTCCGTGTGTAGGTAGAAGTGATCAGCGGCCCTCACCGCGGAAAGCAGGGCGAAGTGAAGGAAGTGATCCGTGAGAAGAACGCAGTCGTACTAAACGACATCAACATGCGTCATCGATACGTCAAGGCCAAGCCTGGTGTCGCGCCTGGCCGTATCTACTTGGCGCCTGGCGCCATCCACTACAGCAACGTCAACTTGATCGATCCTTCCATCGGGTATGTACAGTACCTCAAAATCTATCCAAGGGTATTGTCATCTCACACCTCCATCTATCTCCATGTATGCAGGAAACCCACCCGCATCGGCATTCGCTTTGGCGAAGACGGCGAAAGGTTGCGCATCTCGAAGAAGTCGGGCACGATCATTCCCAAGCCCGACGTCCTCAAGGAACGGCAATCCCCTCGACGGACAGAAACCGGTCCGTTGGATACCGCGCCCGAAGATGTGTTGGAGCGCACTGTCGACGACTCGGAAATCACGCGCCTATAAGTGCCACCCGACGCCACCACATTGCACTAGTCGAGTTTGTAAGCAACTCGTGGGTCTCCTTTTTCACGTGTGTATTGTGCATCCCTCGTTGCTGTATCCACGCTCATTCGTTCGTGCACAACTACGTGCCGCCATACCCATAACTTCCACATACCCTTTAATTACAACAGTCTTGGGTTCGCATCTCGTGTCGCAGAGTGCCGACGCTGCATGTGGCCATTCTACAAATGACATTGACAGCACACTGCTGCCATTGGTGCACTGTCGCGTGGACCACAGCTACATATCGTAAGCCATGGGAAGATGGTTCAGCATTCACAGTGTTCATCATCACCAGAGTAGTATGGGAACATATATTTTTTACCAATTGACAACGGTCTGAACAATTAGTAAATACCAGTAATATTCCAATACTAGGAATGTTAGTTATTATTTCACTAATTGACAATTAAAATGCGGATGTATTTATGTTAATTGCTAGCAAAAGAATGGAGAATTCATAAGAGATGGCTCTTGAAATGACTGGAAATGAAATAATACTATAATAGTACTACTTAAGTACGTAGCTACCAGTATACTCCGAGTGCTATACTATATATAGCACTACGTACTATTAAAATAGTACGTAGTAGTAAATAATAATAATAGATGTATTAATACATGTTATACAAAGGGTACAGTACACCGATCAATTCAATCTTGAATTGGATCTCGCAACCATGACTGCAATCAATAATTTGCAATTTGCCAGCGCCTTGCAATTAATTATTTTCCGTACATACAGACCGCTTTTAATTGTCCAGTATTTTAATTACAATTAGCTTTTCCCATACCCTGATCATATATCAAAAGTTGCACATGTATCGTAGTATTACGACTACTAGGGTTCAACAGTGTGCGGCGTGAATCCACTGAGCGTCAAGTGGCGCAGGGGCATGAACAGTCTAGCTTGGAACGCCGGCGACTTCAAGTGTTCCCATGGCTGCCACTCCCATCCTACATGCCCATACATTTCCAATTTCGCGTGTCTTCATGTGATGGGGTTACCTTCGCACTTGTCTGGCTCCATGCGCACGGGGACTTGGCCGTCGCGCACCGTGGCTTGCATGAAGATCGTGATGTAATGCTTGTCATCGTCGGGCATGATGTCGTTGGTCGAGTGGGCAAATGTCACGTCCCCAATGTCCAAGTCTACGACCAAGTACAAAACAAATTACCCCCGTGGTCGTGTACTTTGGTTGAAATCGTGCAAATGTATATGTACCCGTCTCCTCTTTGACTTCCCGAACTGCACACTCTTCCCAGCTTTCCCCAAACTCCAAATGGCCACCTACACGACACAACTTTTGACTCACACCGTACAACCGCCTCATAATGTACCTGGAAGTTGCACTTTGCCGGCGCCATGGGACGCCTTCCGCACGCCGATGAGGACACACGAAGGATGCGCCGCCGAGTACAGCAACACCCCCACGCCCACGCGCGGCACGGTCGCAGATTCACGCAACGTCGCCACTTCACTTTGCATCGTAAACAGTCTACATATACGTACAAGGGACGACTGTGACGACGTTATACTGGCAACATATTCGACTCTCAGGGTAGTCTGATGTACATTTCCCACGTGTTCGAGGTTACATCGGGACCCAAGACAAGTAGTAATAGTATTGTTGTGTTTACTCTAAACTGGAGCGATATGGAGAATGACCAAATATACTGAAGAATCGGCAAAAGGATCGAACCAATCAGATTGCTGGAAACCACCATCAACGTCAAAATCGTGTTTGGTAGAAATCAAATCACCACAGGACAAGACTTTATATGGTACAAAAGTCAGTACAAAGAATCGATGGATGGATTTGGCAAAGAATCAGCACAAATGTCCAAAGTTTGGGTAAAAGGGCAATACCTGTCGTGGTCCAACGCTTCCTGCCGATCCAAGAAGCTCAAAATCTCGTCGAGATGCGATGTGTTGGCCACGTCGTCGAGTTGGCTCAGTTGGCTGTCAAACACAAACTCGTCGTGCATGGACGATGACAGCGAAGACGAGAAGCAGTCTTGGCTGTTGCTGCCCCCAAAACTGTCGACCGCGTCGCCCACCGCGTACGACGACGACGACGACGTTTGGTCCTCCGAGTTGGACTCGTGGATCGCGTGGAGAGGTGGTGGGGGTACGGGCGGAAGCACAGTCGTCGACGACTGAGACGGTTGCGACAACTGACTGCCCATCGTCATCTGCGACGTGCTCAACAGCGTGTCGTCCTTGTCCAAGTACTTTTGCAACAGCACCTTCATGCGCGCATTCTCCCTCGCCAACACGATCATCTTCTTGGTGGCTTCTGCGAGACGGGACTGGTACAGTCGCACGTCCTCGTCTGCATCGGCCAACGTGCGGCGCTTCTTTGATGGACCATGACCAGAAGACGACGCCATGACACGGCAGCGACGACTTGATTGAACTGGCGAATAGCAGATCCTCAATTGATTGTCACGACCACAATATATCAAATGTCACGAGTTTCTGATTGCTACGATATCAAGTCTGCCCAAATATTCGTTTACACAAGGTATTCAATATCCCACAGCATGACGGTGATGAGGCACGGCGACCGGTTGATGAGACTCCGTCAATCTCACAAGGGGGAGTTGCATGTAGTATTGTACTACGTGTGGAGTTAACCTCTCTTTCATCTATTTCGGCACCGCCGCTTGCTACGTTCCATCCTCATTCGAGGTCGTGGACGGATTGCGACGTAGGTCGTCCGCACGCCACGTCGCGGGAGCGGGCGTACGGTTTGATGGGGTTGACAATGCTGCGACAGGTGGGGTTCTCGCATCCTGCGCAGTTGAGGGGGTACGCGGGAGAGTGCAGCGTGTTCGAGTCCAAGTGGTCCTTGACCAGGTCCGCCATGGCCTGCGCGAGAAGCGGCTCTTCGTTCAGGGACGGACTGCGCTTGAAGTGCTACGAATAACATGCCGTCCATCACACTCCCATACACGTTGTATATAGTATCATGCAAGGTAGGTAGGTACGTACCTCAATGCCAAGTTCTCGCGCTTCTTCGGCATACTCGATGTCAATTTCAAACAACGTTTCGATGTGATCGGACGTGAATGCAATTGGCACCGCCAGCACGTGCCTGTGAAGTACATGTGCACAAACGTCAGCAAGGCAACCAACTGTCGTCATGTGACTTGTGTACGTACTTGTGTCCTTGGCTCGCCAGGCCCTTGATCACGTTGCTGGTGCTGGGGCCCATCCACGGCAAGTACCCGACTACGTACGTACAGGAGTTGTTATTGTCGATTCGAAATTGGAAGACAATCGATATACGACCAATCAAAACCCAGATCACTCATCAAGTAGCCAATCAAATCCAATCTTGGACCAATGCAACATCGAATTAGTGTGTGACATTGGACGATTCAATTCAATCCAAAGAATCGATCGATAGATTTGGCGAATCAGCAGCTCAAAAGTCCAAATTTGGGGTAAAAAAAAAGATAATAATACTATTGTCGATTTGATACAAATTTGGGGAGTGGGTGCAATCGAATCGCGCCGACCAAACCGATCCACAATCGATCTGATTGGTTGTAGAATTTCATTGGGAAGGTTTTGATTGGCTAATAATTTTGAGCTCATCTGACGTAGCCAATCAAATCGATTTAAATTCCAACGAGAAACCACGCCACAACACGAAGTTTCACTCGAAAGCACAATAAAGTGAGAGAGAACCTTTGGATTGCCAGCTCAGGACATGTGGGTTGGTGACGTTGAGATGCTCCATGACGCGTTCGCTGGTGGAGGCAATCTCCTTGGTGTACGGGTCGCCCTTGTACACGACTTTCATGGGCACTGAATGCGCTGAAAACATGATCACGACCTACCAAAATACGATAACGTCATCGTCGTAGGTGGTGTTCACGTCATGATGACAGAATATACCTTGTCACGAACGTCAGCCGGAAACGCTTCTAGGCCGAGTTGAATGCGACGGCTCACGGCAGCAATGTATCCTGGATGCGTGTTCCATCTAATTGATGCATACACGCAAGAGTTCAAAATATATGGCCGTCCATACTGCGATGGGAAGATGGTGGAACGTACCGATCGATGAGCGACCATTGAAAGGAATCCCCCAAGTCCAAACGCTTTAGTTCGCGCCACAAATGGTTCATGCTTGAGCCTGTCGTGGTGCACGACCATTGCGGGTACTGTTGTTGCATGGAGAGTTTTGTGGGTATGACGATCAGGATACATAAGGACAGACGATTGCACCTGCGAGAAAGCAATGGCACGTTCTGCGCCGTCGTTCTTCATTTCCGTCAGTGCCGCTTCGGTCAACGGGTTCGCGTACCGGAACATCGTGTAATGCTTGTGTGGGGCGCTCTAAGAAGGGAGGGATGAGGGATGATGAATTCAGGGAACCCACACAATACGTGGAAGTGGCATGTTACCTCTGGTCGGATCTCGTCTAAAATTTTGCACATGGCGTTGCCTTGATGGTTGGTCCACTTTCCGATGGGAGACCCCCCGCCGATGGCGGCGTACTGCGCTTGGATTTTCGGCGAGCGCCGCTTCACGACCATCGACGACACGAACTCTTGGAACGGACCCAGTGGGATGATCTCTGGGTCGGAGAAGAGGTTCTTGAGGAAGGAAGGCACCTCGTCTAGCGTTGAAGGCCCGCCCATGTTCATCATGGCGATGGCCGTGCGGACTTTGGGTGCCGTGCGTGTGGTCGTCATCGTGTCAAAGATGCAAAATGATGATGGCGAAGAATGGCGTTATCCGGATTCGGATTTCGCATAAACGACGCAATGAAGACTTGAGAAGTTCGATCATTGAGGTCATTGCGGCGCTGTGGACAGGACGTGGGGGGTATCGAGAGCATTAGCATCGTCCTTGCTACGAGAGAATAGAATCTCGGGATTCAAGAGCAACAGCGGCGCAAGCGCTGAGGATGCACAGGCATTCACGTGCCGCTACGCTACGGTACATGATTCTTGCTGCATGCTGCCTGTACATGAACATCTATCTACCTTGGCTGGTCCGTACACCTAGTGCACTCCATGTGTCAAGCTTCGCTCTCGAATGTGTTGACAGGTTGCATGTGCATGAACGATCAACTACGAATGCAGTTGCCGCTTTTGCTTCCACTTGAGATGGGCTGACATTGCATTGCAATTTGGCCTTACAGTTCCCTCCCAGTTCGTCACCACGCACGTCAAAGGTGTCCATCCATGTACCTCGCTCTTTGAATCGCTACAGAAGCAACGATACAGACGATCATGTTGCTGACCTGGCTCGGTCAACCCTATTTCTTGTTCGTTTAACGATATCCAGCAAAACCAAAGCAGAACTACACACACACACACCGTCACAACTCTACCATGGCAACATTCCTTGCTTCACCCGTTGCTCTGGAGGAGATCTCCCATGACATCTTCCATCTCCTACAGCCAACCTTCCAAACCACCATCAATCATATCCTTGTGTCGTTTCACTCTACTGGAGTTGCTTTTGTGTTTGATGTTGCGGTTGCATTCATGAACCAATCAAATCTCTCCCCTACCCCATTCGAAGCAGCGGTTGGCTGTCGCCATTCATTTCAAGCCCCATAACAATCGAACGCTTCTACGTTTTTGTGGTCAGGTATACAAACCCCAAGTGAAATCCCCGCCCCGCGTCATCACCACTCGTATGGCGTGCTATTTCGACAGGCCCGAATACTATATATACTCCAATACAGTATAAATTATCTATACACCCCATTAAGTACGCCGTCTGGTCTCATGGACATTGAGCATTGCCCTGTCGCTTGTAGGCGATGCTGGACCATCAATTAACTCACCACCCCGGTCGCATCGAATGCCTTGTTTTTCAGTGTACACAACCACCTTACGACTACTAGTCCACGCTTGCCATGACGTAGGAAAAAGACTATCGTTTAATTTTATCAATATGACCGCTGAACACAGTTACTAGGACGAGTGCAGCTCCGTTGCGAAGGCAAAGCGCTCCGCCAATGGCATTGTCCCAACAATCGTACTTACTTGGGATCCTCGTGGTATACGAAAATCTAGTTCAGTATCCAGTATATCGATGGTATGCTAGTCGTGGTCGTGGCTCGGCGCCTGGGTTGGCCCAGATCAGCGAGTCAAATTGCACCACGAAATGGTGGCTGGGAGTGGGGAAAGAAGTAGAACTAAGTGGCGGTGGTTGTCGTGGGCGTCATTCCTGAATTTGCTCAGTTGACTCGCTACCATGCCTAAGGAAAAGACCCATATCTCGCTCGTCGTGATCGGCCACGTCGATGCCGGCAAGTCCACCACGACTGGTCACTTGATCTACAAGTGCGGTGGTATTGACAAGCGTACGATTGAAAAGTTCGAGAAGGAAGCGGCCGAACTCGGCAAGACCTCGTTCAAGTACGCCTGGGTGTTGGACAACTTGAAGGCCGAACGCGAACGCGGTATCACGATCGACATCGCGTTGTGGAAGTTCGAATCCCCCAAGTTCTTCTTCACGGTCATCGATGCCCCTGGCCATCGCGATTTCATCAAGAACATGATTACCGGTACCTCGCAAGCCGATGCCGCCATTTTGGTCGTCGCCTCGGGTGTCGGTGAATTCGAAGCCGGTATCTCCAAGGAAGGCCAAACGCGTGAACACGCGTTGTTGGCGTTCACCTTGGGTGTGCGCCAAATGATTGTGGCCATCAACAAGATGGACGACTCGTCGGTCATGTACGGCGAAGGCCGTTACAACGAAATCAAGGAGGAAGTGACCAACTACTTGAAGAAGGTTGGTTACAAGCCCGCCAAGATCCCCTTCGTGCCCATCTCCGGCTGGGAAGGCGACAACATGATTGAGCGCTCGCCCAACATGGCCTGGTACAAGGGCCCTTACCTCCTTGAAGCCCTCGACGGCTTGAACCCCCCCAAGCGCCCCACCGACAAGCCCCTCCGCCTCCCCCTCCAAGATGTGTACAAGATTGGCGGTATTGGCACGGTCCCGGTCGGTCGCGTCGAAACCGGTGTGTTGAAGCCCGGTATGGTCGTGACCTTCGGTCCTTCGGGCCTCACGACGGAAGTCAAGTCTGTGGAAATGCACCACGAATCGTTGCCCGAAGCCACCCCCGGTGACAACGTCGGATTCAACGTCAAGAACGTTGCCGTGAAGGACCTGCGCCGCGGGTTTGTCGCGTCCGACTCCAAGAACGACCCCGCCAAGGGCACGGAAACCTTCACGGCCCAAGTGATCGTGTTGAACCACCCTGGCCAAATCGGCAACGGGTACTCGCCCGTGTTGGATTGCCACACCGCTCACGTTGCGTGCAAGTTCAAGGAGATCACCCAAAAGATGGATCGTCGTTCGGGTAAGGTGCTCGAAGAGAACCCCAAGTTCGTCAAGTCGGGCGACGCCTGCCTCGTCATCTTGGAACCCACCAAGGGCATGACCGTCGAATCGTTCCAAGAATACCCTCCCCTTGGCCGTTTCGCCGTGCGCGACATGCGTCAAACCGTGGCCGTCGGTGTCATCCACTCCGTGATTAAGAAGGAAGCTGGCGGCAAGGGCAAGGCCGCCGCCGGCAAGAAGAAGTAAAGTCGAGAGTCGAGTTGGATTGCTTAGTTATGGATATCGATTATATTCCAATGAAACCCTTAGATTACTTTTTTTACTAGACAACTGGTGTGGCGTGGAGACCGAGTGATGGTACACTGGTGTGTATTGTATGGGCACCGTTTTGTGACACTTTTTGGGACCCTTTGACGGAGGATCCTTTATTCTAAATTGCTACTTCGTACTTGAAGTATTATACTATTGTAGGAGTCTGTCTGGATCAGGCACGACAATAATTGTCTCGATTCAAATTAATATTTATTCGAAGTGTCGTTAACAGAGAATGTCATCTTACAGTTACAGTAATGCAAATCGGCTTCAAATATATACCAAATGAGAAATATTGCTCGAAAATGATTAGGGTTAAATTAAACAATTCTAATTGGACAAAAAGTCCGTTTAATCAATCATGATATTATGGTATGGGGTTTAACGTATAGGTTTTATTCATGACCGTTTCTCTATTGGTCGCCTGACTTCAAATGTGTCTTTTCTCATGTAAAGTATTTTTGAATCTGATTGGTGCTAAATCACGAGCGCTTCTCTGTATTTGCCAGTAGTTTTACTTTCTCGAAATGAATATTA